GGATATGTTCTGAGGTCTGCATTAGTAGCAATTTCATCACTGTGTGATCATCACAGAATGTACTTACACAAGCTAAGGTGCTACATGTCACTAAGTGATACAACACCAAAATACAAGCATCTCATTATTGACTGAACCATTACCCGCGGGAGGGGGGGGAGGGGGGTACATGCATGCGCAAGAATGAGTTTGTGTGTGTGTGTGTTATTGTCCTTAAATGACCTTTTCTAAACTCACATAGACTATTTAAGTTGCAGTAGGAAAAAAAATTTTGATTAAACAAAAGTAACAATACTAAGTGCTAGTAAAGATGTGAACACCTAGTACATCCATTCATTGCTGACAGGAATAAAAAAATTTATAGTAACTTTGGAAAATAGTTTTCCTTTTTATTAGAAAGTCACAAATGTATAGTTAACATGAGGCTCAGGTCTTCTGTGGACACAGGATATCTTTCAATATTTGCATTTTCTCTAATTTCTTTCATCAATATTTTGTAGTTGTATTTCATTTCCTTGGTTAAGTCAATTCCTAAGGATTAGGTTCTTTTTTATACTACTACAAATGGTATTGTTTATTTTTTATTTTTATTTATTTCTTTATTTATTAGTACCGGGGATTGATCTCAGGGGCACTCAACAACTGAGCCACATCCCCAGCCCTATTTTGTATTTTATTTAGAGACAGTGTCTCACTGTCTTGCTTAGAGCCTTGCCTTTGCTGAGGCTGGCTTTGAATTCGAGACCCTCCTGCCTCAGCCTCCTGAACTGCTGGAATTATAGGCATGTGCCACAGACCCTGGCTGGTATTGTTTCTTAATTTCATTTTCGATGGTTCCTTGATAGTGAATAAAAGCACAACTAATTTTAATAGGCTTTGCATCCTGCAACTTTACTGAATTTATTTAATGGGTCTAAAAGTTTTTTTCCAGAGTCTTTAGAGTTTTTACCATTTGCTACTTCTTCTAAACAGAGTACTGCAAGTTCAAGCCAGAACAATTATTTCTTTTTTATGTAAATTTTTAAATTTATATATGATAGAATGCATTATAATTATTATTAATATAGAGCACAATTTTTCATATCTCTAGTTGTATACATAGTATATTCACACCAATTCATGTCTTCATACATGTACTTTGGATAGTAATGATCGTCAATATTTCACCATCATTAATTACCCCCTCACTTCCCCTTCAACCCCTTTGCCCTATCTAGAGTTCTCTATTCCTCCCATGCTCCTGCTCCCACCATGAATCAGCCTCCTTATATCAAAGAAAACATTCAGCATTCCAGTGGTGCAATTGGTTAGCATGCAGTACTTACACAGCAGTGCAATTATTTCTTAGCAAGAAAAAGAAATGAAAGGAATCTAAGTCAGAAAGGAAAAAGTAAAATTGTCTCTCTTTTCAGATGATATGATCCCATATGAAGAAAACCCTAAATACTACACACACACACACACACACACACAATCTTGCCCTGTGTTTCCTTGCTAAGTTTCTAGAGATAAGCAGTGGAAAATGGCAAGAATGTGAATATTTTGAACGTGAAGAAGTAAGAATAATAGTCCTCTGACCTACCAAAAGCCTCCAAAATTAAGACAACGATGATGGGCTTCAGAGGTACATACATTTAGTTCTGTGCTCTACTTATAAAGTTAATGCTGACAATCAGAAAAGTTTCAAATAAAATGAAGAGTTAAATAATATAAAGGTTATATTTTGGTTGTACTCATTTGTAATGCCCTACAATGGAAAATACTTGGGTTTTCATTTTGTTTTTATTTAACTTTAGCTACTAATTCCATCTCCTGTCACAGAATCTTATGTAAACAGTCTGTTCTCATAACAGAATTATAGAAGCATAAAATACTGCAGCATGTGTTATTTTAATGGCTGTTTCATTTCTTTGACAAAACAAAGCAAGCAACTCATTCCCACAATAATCTATTTCTGCAGTAGCACCAGCAAGCAGACGTCAAAGAGAAAATTGCATAAAGATGTAGTATTTCATGTACAAATACAACCTGCTTTGATATTTTACACACAAAGAAAAATACAATAAAATTCTTTGTTTAATCTTATTTTTCTTTATTTTTGTTTAATCTTATTCTTCCAGTAACTAGTTACATTTTATGTCTCATATCTATTTTTCATCTTTTGGTCCATCTGCCTTTTTCTTAATTTGTTATTAATATAAATCAATATTTTGTATTATATATGTTTTAACATTATTTACAGTCATCCTTCAGTATCCATGGGGTATTGGTTCCAGGACATACCTCACCTCCCCTTCCCACACTGTGGATACCCA